AACAACATTTTTCAATAAAAGTGATATTGTATTTAATTTTTTTTTAATAAAAAGTGATATTAAATGTTTAAAGGTGATATTGTGCCAAAAAAAAGTGAATTTTTATCACTTTTTTAGTGTTTGTCACTTTTTTCAATCGTCTTTTTGATATTTTTATCATTTTTTTTAGCGACAAACACCATGTTTCAATAAAAGTGACATTGTATGTACTTTTTTAATAAAAAGTGACCATTTTTATTAAAAAGTGATATTGTATTACTTTTTGAGTTTACGCTGTATTTTTTATTTTCAAATTTTTTTTCAAAATACCTCTAATTTAAAGGATATTTTTGTAAGTGGCCTCTTGTTATTACTTATTGGCCTCTGGTTTTTTTAGAAAATGGCCCAGCCAAATGCCCAAGCCTAATGTAGTGGAAATTGGGTCAAATAGTCTATCTCTTGATATAATTTGCAAATATATCCTTTGACCAGAATAAAGGTTTTAAAATAAATATTTTAAATTAATATTAACAAACTACCTGAATTACCCTCATTCATTCAACAAAGAAAATTTTCCCTTCCCTTTCCCAAATCCATCTCTTTTGTCTGGAACGTAGAAATCTTTCTAACCAACCATTGTTTCTTCTTTTTTCCCACTTTTAACAGCTTTACTTCTGTATCTTCTTCATCTAAATGAAATGAAATTTGTATGTAATTATTCTTCCATTTCAAACGCTACCATCATCTCGAGCAACTTCGTCGGGAACAACCTATTCAAGCAAACAATTTCCCAATCACATTTGTCACTTGCATCAACTAACATGTAATTCCCCTTGCACCTTGTTGTTCATTCTTCTGATCACAATATAATGCTCTGAGAAATTCATTGCATTTTGAGTTTGTATGTTGTGAATTGGAGAAATTATATTGAAGGGAGCTATGACCTGTTTGTTGAAATTTCCAAGTAATTGGTGGAACTTGTTACTCTTTTTTCTTCATAATCTTTACCATTGGGTTACTAGAATTGATAATAAATGGGTTGTTGTGACTTAGAATCAATAAAGAAGAGTTGTGGAGATGATGTGAAAATGGCGAGGTAGCTTTGAAGGAAATACACAGAATATTTGCACACAAAGTAGGAAAATACGATTCTTTAGGACATGACTTAGCCATACAAACGACCAAAATCATTCACCCCTCTAGTCACTGCATATACATCTGTGTGTGATCCTTTTTTGCATGTGTGTGATTGTCTAAATTTTGTTGCATGATTATCTGCTACATCTCAATGTGTTTGATATGGGCATTTGTATGAATTTGAGACATTAGGATTACTTGGTGTAATTGCTTGCATGCATAGTGTGTTAGGATGCATTAGCAGTGTGTTGTGTGTCTTTTGGTAAGGTGGAATATAGATGCCTAGGGATACATGGTGGTTTGTACCTGAATGTGGAGTGTGACATTTGGATCACGAGTGAAGATGTGATCAAATGTTTAGAATCCTTTATCTGGAAAGAGACCCTGATCAGGTGGAGTGTGAGAGAGGCACTTCTATCACTTCTGTTAGGTGGAAACCTATTATCCACGTAGGTTGGGAGAAGTGATGTGAAGATAGAGGATTATCCCGTGGACATAGGATCTATTGTGACTTGCCAGTTAGACATGAGTTGAGTGATCTATCTAGTGAGCTTGGTGGGCGATGAGAGGAGATATGTGTTCTCGAGGTGTGAGCAACACGGAATATGATAGGATAAGTGCGGTGAGATCTTTTCTTAGGGTTTTTTATGCATGTATTGCATATGTGGTTGACCGTGGTTTGATTGACTTGGTGTTAATCTATGGTTCTATGTGAACGAGTTTCTGAAGAGATCTGTGCGTGTTATCCTATAGTATATCGTCATCGCACGTGTATTTGCTCTTGATTGTTTACTGTTAAATATTTGCTTCTACTTGGATTTTTTGACCTTAGCCCCGGTGAGTATATGAAGCAGGTATGGTATGTGTTTCAGGTTAGAAACACGAGGTAAGGTCTGTGATCCTTGATTATGCAAATGCTAACTGTATGTTTTGTTTGCTTACAAATTTATTGGACATCAAGGTAGAGATTTGTTGGGTTTTTTGATACCCAATAAATTTCGGGCAATAATGTTAACGTGGGTTAATATTATTTCATAGGCATACGCCGATGAATGAAATAAGTCCAACAATCAAGTCCATAAGCTACACCCGACCCAATTGTATTCCCTTATGGATGGCTTGAATCTTAGCTCGTTTACCCCTTTAATGGTTCAACATAAAGCCTAACCCTAGAGTATATATTTGGTTATAACCCTAGCCACTTTCTAAAGATGATTGTGTGATTTTGAGAGAAGAAATAGTGAATCCCGGCTGCCCCCCTTTGTGTGAGAAAAAAGGTGTCTAGAAGTGTCCAGAACGTTTGTATAACGTGTGCAATTAGTGGTTCTTTCATAGTATACCTTTGTGGTGTCTTCTCCTAGCCTTTGTGGCCATAAATCATCATCCTTTCTTGTCCTACGTGGGTAAGATTGCATAACAACCAAGGTGAATCAATTGGTTGTGGTTTGGAGTTGATTGGACTGGTTGTTGGTTGAGAAAGGTGCGTTGGACCGAGTCCGAAAATCACCGATTTGAAGATCTTTCAAGAGAGCTTCCGCAACAGCATGCCTTGACAACTTAACTTTTTTTTTTTTTTGCTGACTTTTAAGCAAAGACTATTATTTAAGTAATTTTTATTTATTTTCGAAACAAATTACTTATTTACAATTAGCAATTTTACTTCTAAAAATGTTTTTTTTATTATATAAATCAACAAATAACTTTCAATATATAAAAATAGTTTATTGGTAAAAATTAGATTTAATAATTTTTGATTATCTAAAAAGAACTAAATAAGTTTTTATTTTCATAGTAAGACATTAGTTTTAAACAAAAGTAATATTTTCACATAGCCTACATTTGAAATTGATTTTTTTAAAATCTATTTTTCTTTATACTCATTTTCAACTATATATTTGGCAAAAAAAAAAAAAAAAAAAATCAATTTTCACTGTTTCCCATAATTTTTCCTATTTTTTAACAACATATTCTCAAAAATAAAATAAATTAACTTTTCACAAAATCACTTACAAAAAATCAACATCGCACGGGGGCTTAATGTGTTAAGGCCATCTCCAATCCTGCACCAAATTTTGCATCAAATCTTACACCAAACTAAAATTCATCTCCAACCATTACACCAAAAATTACACCAAATGAACAGTATTTAACCATTTTTTTCCTTTTTTATTCTTTATAATCTACTTATTTGAAATATTATTTATTTAATTATTTCATAAATACATAAATTACTAAATAAATAATTACGTTAAATTACGGAAAAGATTAAATTCATTAATAAATATAAAAAACATAGAACAATTAATAAAAATACAATTAATATACATAGAACATAAATTGCTATTTAATTATTTCGTATTAACTTTAATAAATAATCGTGTTTGATGTATTTTAAATTGTTTTCGTCTTTTAATTAATTAATTAATTATTATGTCTTACATTTAAAATTTATTTTAAACAAAAATAATATTAATATTAATAAAAAATAATAATAATTTATTGTATTAAAAAATATATAACACAAATTACATAAATACCCTCAACAAATTTATTTGAAAAATGTTAAATAAGGGCAAAATGGATATTTTACACTTTGCACCATATTTGGTGCAACACTATTCACTTTGCACCATTTTGCACCAAAATGGTGCAAAGTTTGGTGTTGGGTTGGAGCAATTTTGCACCAAAAAATGGTGCAATGGTGTTGTGGTTGGAGATGCCCTAAAAAAACAAAGTATTTACCATGCTGGGAGATAAGTTATTAAATTAAAGGTTATTAATTTTTATTCATTATTACAGTTATATCTCATTCTTATTTTTATCCGTTGTTTGATCCCCATTATTTTCAAAATACATTTTTATATCTTCTTTTCAACCATCCTTCTTCAATAAAATAATTTACGTACAAACTCAATTTTTTCCTTATTTTTTAAATATTCTTCATCAATCTATTATTTCAAAATGCAATCTTAACAAAAAAAATTAGGCTCAAATAGATATTTCATAGATCAGAAAATCTTATCTTTAATCATGATTTTCGTCTACAAATATTATTAACGTGTAAAAAAATTAATTGCATTTTTACATTATTATTTGTTTTGCTTATTAAAAATTATAATGGACAAATGAGTTTCTTCACTATATCTTAAAAAAAATAAAAATAAAATGGAGAGAAACTACAGGAATAAATTGTGTTATTTTGAGAACAAGAATGCGATGAAAAAATTTGAGATATAAATATGATAATGTGTAAATATTATGAACATTTTATACAATTAAAATGTAGTTCAGTTTAGTAGTGCTATGAATATATCAAGCCTTTTACATTTACTGAGGCTAAATGATTTTAATTTCATAAATGGTCAATGAAGTTTGTGTAAAAATTTAAATTGGTCCTGCAAATGGCTATTCAATTAACGAAAAAAAGTATACTTCTTGCCCATTAATGCCGGGATAGTGAGTTAATTGTTACAATGGTCACTGAACTTTGAAAAATATTATAAATTACTCACTGTAAATTCGATATTTTTTAAAATTCAACAATTATGTTAGTGAGTAATGTACGACATATTTCAAAGTTCAGTGAGTAATATACAATATTTTTCAAAGTTTAGTGACAAAAACTCGACATTTTAAATTTCAGTAAGCAATCGAAGATATAAACCTAAATTCAGTGAATAATCAAAGCCATTGACTACGTTCAGTGATCAAAACTCGATATTTTAAACTTTAGTGATCAATAAAAAATATGAATTTAAGTTCAGTGACCATTGGAACAATTAACTGCAGGACAGTCTCCTTTGACGTGCCATTTAGATTTTTGGAACGTTTAAGTAACATTTGTGACTAATTGGGTTAGAACAATAATTGAAAGATCAGCTTGAAATTTCGCATAAACTTTGCTGCCCATTTGCGAAATTTAACTGCCAATTACAACGTTCAAATTTACAGTTGGAAAGTACGCACTTCGCACCAGAATCTCTCTAACGCACTCACGATCTTTTTCAGGAAGACGAAATCGATTTCTCGATCCGGTAACAATTACAAAACCCTAACAATTCGTCTTTCCCTCTCCGTCTTTCTATTCGAATAATTCATACTCAACACGAACTTCGTAATCAAATGTCGACTACCGGCGAAGGAGACGCCGCCTCCACTTTTTCATACGAAGGCGGAGGCGGAGGAGCGGGGGGGAAGTTCCGTGAAAGACCCTTCCGGAGAATTGAAGAGAGGACGCCGTACGATCGCCCCGTCAATAACCTCCGTGGAATCACCGCCACCACCCCGAACGAAAATAGTGGGAGTTGGTTAACGAAGCTTGTCATGGACCCCGCTTCAAATCTCATTTCCTTTGGCGCCAACCGCTTCTCCTCTGTTTTCAGTAAACGCCTCCCCGCTCCTCCTCGGCAAGAACCAGGTTACGCTCCCTTCTCTATGTATATAGTTACTGGTAAAAAAATTATTTTTGAGTGGGAATTTGTTGGCTTTATTAGTTAGGGTTCATTTGGTGAGGGAAAATTGTTACCTTGAGTTTTGTATTAAAAATCTCTATTATTTATAAATATACATGCATGGAGGTATTTGATTTGTGAATATGATTTTATTTATTCAAGTAGGCGGTGAATTACCAAGGGTTTTTGTTGCATTGAGCAAAAGATATTATATATAACTTATTTCCTGGGATACTTTACTTTCCTTTTGATTCTTGAGGTTTTATTGTGATGTTTGGTTGAATAAGGCCTTATGTACTTTATAATGTAATCAGAGGCGAATCATGAATTGAGTGGTGCATTTCAAGGGACAGTTCCTGAGGTAAGTGTATCTCCTCTCTTGTTATTTTTTCCAATTCCTTGAATATGGGTTTGTTATATTTGTAGAAAGTATTATGAGAGTTAGGCGTAGAAAACCCATTTCATAAAATTGTTAAGAGAGTTGGAGGGTAGAAACCCATTTGAATAGGGAAATGTTGTAGAGGATTGACATGGGTCAGATGGTAGGTAAGGCTGAGAGAGAAAGAGAGAGGAGAGCATACTAAAATGTAAAAGCTTTGAGAAGTATAATTAGCTAAAGGGAAGCTGGAATGGCTATGCATATGTCCTTATTTAAAATGCATGAGAAGTTGTATAGTTATCCTATAACTTTGGAAGGTGAAAAAGATTTTTGTAAGATATATTGACAAATGGAAAAGAAGTATGGACATAAACTAACATAATTGCATTAAGGATGTGAATATAAGAGTTTGTTTCATAGCGATGAGACCAAGTAAAGATGGAGGGATTATTTCGAAAATTTAATTAATGGAAGCATAATATGGATTGTAGGGATCTATTGAACTTTATTGAAGACATGAATGGAATTTATACTAGCAGGACCTCCTGAGGAGGTTATGAAGGTGAAGTGAGGTAAGACATTGATTTGGAAGGAATCCTATTGACACGGTTGTCTTTGGGTCAGGAGTGTTTTTAGTGAACTTAAAAGGATGTTTGGGAAGTTTTTATAAAGGTTTAAAGTATAAATAGATTGAAATGATGGTAGATAAGTGTGTAGTACTTGTGGTCCCCCAAAATGTGTGGATAAAAAGTGTTCTCAGGGTTTACAAACAATTTAGCCCTTATTTGATCCTCATTTTTAAAAAAAAAAAATACATTCTTGAACAGTATTTTGACCCCATTTTAACCACACATTCTTAAATAAAATAATATGACATATAAATCCAAAATATTTTCTTATTTTTTAATCACACATTTTCCCTCGAAACACTATTCAAGAATGCATTATTTTCGAAAAAAAAAAAGAAGGGGCTCAAACAAGGGCTTATAAAGATGAGCCAAACATGCGCTAATTAATGCAATTTCAAATAGCCAGAAGATGCTTGATGAGCAGAGATATTTAAACTTGTACTAATTATGGACAGATTAAAATCACGTGTCATACTTTGACCATGTGGGACTGAGAGCATTCATTCCTATGGGCCTTCATAAGATAACAAATTGACAAAATTAAAAGTCTAACTTGCAAACAATGTGAAGATATAAATAAAGAAGAAAGTAATGTCTTAAATTAGTAATTACACAATAAAATTGCAATCTACTATAGAAATAGAAACAACCTAGGAACCTTCTGTATCAACAGCATTACTGATAGTGCCTTCTCCTTAAAGATCGGAAACAGAAAAGATAAAAAACGCGGTAAAATTCTAGAAAAAATGTGTAAATAGCTGAGGTCAATAATAAAAAGTCTGGATTAGGCAAGATAAATGAGTGCACAACTAACTCGTCCTTAGGCACCTTCAGGCGTAAGCCTTGCTCACCTATCAAATTTTTTTTGATGTGGATGCTCTTCAATGAGAAGTCCAATTCCAAGTAGTTCATTTCAAGAAAGCAACCTTTACAGCTGTACTATCTAACTTCCTTTGAAGGACATTTACAAAACACCTGTTAAATCATAGGTTCATCTAGCAAGTAATATCCTGTGAAAACACTTCTCGCATAGTCCATTAGTGTGGACTTTTCATGTAAGAAAGTAGACCAAACACGCACTAAATTGCTAGCCAAATTTTTAATTCTTCCACTGCCAAGTTCATATTTTGAGACATGCATTTTTCTTATTCAGATTAGTATGTTATTTCTGCCTTTATTCTTGAGGATACCACCCATTGTGGTTTTAAAGCTGGTGAAAGTGATTTGCATTTTCTTTTTATGAGTGAAGAATCAATCTGGAGGACAAGAACCTGCAAGTGGTAATGGCAGCCATCTAATAAATAGTTCTGTCAGTGGTGGGATCTCTGAGCTTGAACAATTGTTAAAGCAGAAGACCTTTACCAGGTAAGCTTCTCCAATCATTTGTCAGCAGTGTACATGCTTCTCGTGTAGTTTTTTCTTTTGCAGCTTGGCATAAGAGTAGAGTTTATTTATAATCATTTCATTATTTGTTATTTCCTGATCTTTTCGTTGCATTCACTTACAACTAGAAACAACCACCAGTGTTTGGTGCAATACCCGTATTTTGGTGTATTCTTCTTTCTTTCCTTGGTTTTTCATTCTGTCGTATTCCGACTACGGATCTCATACTATCCCATAAACTGAAAATCCGTAAGACCAATTGCTCCCCAAAGCATTTCGTGTATTACTACATCCTTTCTTATCTCTGGATGCCTAGGTATCCACCGAAGCATTTTGTCATTTGAACCTCGCCCTTTTAAGGCTATGCCCATTCTCTTGACCCACATTGATGAAAATTTGACTCCATGAGAAATTGAACAAAAAGCCACAATCTTTTATGCTGGGTAATCTAGTATCCTTATGCATGAAGATAATCTCGGTTGTTGTGGCAGCGATATTCACTGGGCCAAGAGCACCTCCTCGAGTAAAAGATTCAGCATAAGATTGACCTAAATTTGGGAGCTAGATGCTCGTTGTTTGTCATATAGGAGTTCATCCATTGATCTTCTATGGTGGAAATTGATGAATAGCTCGACATCCCGTGCTACACCCCTATGGCAGCCAACTAACTTAGTTTTCGGCTATATCTGTCTACTTTTTGGTTTTCCTTGTCCTTGCACCTCCTGTAGGCTTTACAAAACTAGCTTTCTTGCCTAAATGCTACTAGTCATCACTTTAAGCTTGCATGTGCATGGATTTCTCTTGCATATGAGAAGAGATGAAACACATTTCCCTGATTTTCTCCCTTTTAGTGCCATTAACAATTCATATGCCACGGACTCCTCTATATGACAATTTAATTTGGAAAAATGATTTGATTCATCTTGGGTCTTCAAATGTGACTGGTAAAGTTTTATTTTCTTTGTACAATCATAAACTAATTATGCATTTGTTATTAGTTGAATTTCTTATATGATATGCAACCTTGTCCAAAGACCTGATAACTTTTGCAAGCTCACAATTTATGGTTCGAATTTGTATCTCTTAAAGGAATCGACTTGGTTTCCCAACTACTCTGCAACATGACCTATTATGTATTTACAACCACTCTATGATGTATTTCATTTATTTTATAGAATTTGTGTCTAGGCACTTGGTTACTTCATAATGTCCTAAAACTGCACTCATCCTTGGGCTCGAGTTACTAAGGTGTAGTTTGTTGGTGCAGACCTGAGATTGAGCATTTGACGGAGCTATTGTGTTCAAAAGCTGTAGAAGGTCCTGCGAGTGATGATGGGAAAACGATAGATGCATTGCCAAAGCTGCTGACGGATGTTGAAAGGAATCAACAATATTCAAGTGCTTCACTGGAAAAATATAAAATTGAGGATAGATCTCATGGAGTCATTTCAACTCCTGCTGTATGTTCAAAAGTATGCTGAAAAGCACTATTATTGATAAGTAAAGCATTTAGATATGCAGTTAGAATTGTGTCGTTGGTTGATATATATCTGATGATTCTTGTAGAGCCCTTGTCTCTTAAAAGGTAAAAGAATGAGTTTTCTTTGATTTTTATAACTTAGAAATGTTTCTAGGTCCTTGAGCATGAGATTGCTTCTCCTGCTGAACTTGCAAAAGCTTACATGGGCAGTAGGCCTTCAAAATTATCACTGTCAAGGTTGGGGATGCGGAACCAAGCTGTTACAGAAGGCTCACGGTTGCTAAGTAATGTACTATTTACTCCAAAATCACCTGTCAAGTCATTCACAAGAAAGAATGCTGTTAACCTTGAGGTTCTCGAATATGGATCTGTAACCCCAAGATCTCGAGGCAGATCATCAATATACAATATGACTCGTACTCCATATTCCAGAGTTTATCCAACCGACTTACATAAGGTTCATTTAGGATGTTTCTCATTTCTGTACAGTATACTGTACTTTCTGTCTGTTTTTCTCTGATGCTTGGTCATTTTCCAGGGAACTGGATCCGCTCATAATGGTTATGGTGGGCCGTCGTCATCATCTCCGTTTGCAATGGAGCATTATCGACTATTTGGGCCTAACAAATTGGTATATAGTAATTTTGTAGTTTTAGATCATACATTATCATCTCACTTGTTATCTTCCATTTTTCTTTTCTTTTCTTTTCTTTTAGATTCTATGTGTTTTGTTTAATCTTTTTTACTTTTTATTCTAGACCCTAAAACGCAGGAGTTCAATGTTAGAAGATGATCTCAGTTCCGTTGGTCCCATACGGAGAATCAGACAGAAACCCAGTCTTTTATCTCATAGAAGTCCTCTTTCTGATAGTGGAGTGGAGATTAATTCTGATACTGCACAAATATCTTTGAAGCAGAAACTTCCATTAGAGGATGAACCAAGGCATAAGATCTCAAAAACTGTTGGAGGAAATGAGGATAAAAGCGCTCCAAGTACCAGTTATACTCCCGTCCCTGCTAAGTCGAGGGAGATTGCTGCTAGAATATTGCAGCATCTCGAAAAGTTGACCCCAAAGGAAAAATCATCAGAATCCAAGCCATCTGCTGCATGGGATAAATCACCTTTGAAAACGAAACCAATCAAGATCCAGGATGGCCATAAGTTGGAGGGTTGTGTTCATGATTCTACTTCACAAAAGCAAGTGGAGGTAGAAGAAAATGACCCAAAAGAGTCTGTTGGTCCACATGAAAAGTTGACTCCCGCAGTGAATATTGATACCTCAGTATTAGTAAAAGCTTTCAGACCTTTGGTTGAAACTACTGATTCTCTTCTTAAGACTTTTGCATCTCAACCTCCTCAAAAGAGGCAAGCCTTTGAGATGAGTGCACATGAGGTAGGTATTGTTTCCTTTAACGTGGAGTGTATATATTTATCAGTGAATCGCAGACTTGCCTGACTTTGATCTGTTATGAATTTAGGTTATTTGGTAGGTTACATCTGTATATTTGGAGCTTCAATTTTAGTTGGTGATTCTTGAATACTCTTATTTCTGCTAAAGCCCTCTGAGAATAGATTGACTTTCTGTAATTAAATTCAACTTATAGAGCTTGTGTCTATATTAAATTCTATGCCTTTTGTAGGATTATTTGGAGCAGGATGATTATAGAGATTCTAATGGGATTGCACCTCAACCATTAGGTGATAGGAGAGAAACAGCGGAGGTAGCTGACAATGATGGAAAGCCTTCACCTGCTGAACTGAAATTGGAGAAAACCACTATTCAGTTGGAAATGAAGTCACCTTCAGGTCCTCTGTCTAGCAAAATCAGCGATATGGAAAGTTCTGGGGTAATCATTGTTGGAAAAGAAAGCACTGCCTTTGCCTCCACTGCTTCCCAGGTACCAAGCACATCCTTCCAATCAACCTTGCGTCCTCAATCAGTGTTCAATTTTGACAATCCAAAGGAAGTGAACAATTCCCCATCACTTGCGATTTCATCCTCGCCTTCTGAATTATCATACAGAAAACCAATTACTTGGCTGGAATCTAAACCAGAAAGTTCAAGCAGGTTAGTCGCCATAGTGAGTAATGTAGATAGCTGCCATTGAGTTCAACTAAGTAGTTTTTCTTTCTTTCTGGCGCCCCATCACCTTGTGCTGCATTTTGATAACATGTCATTTGAAAATTTTCATTATATTCTTGATGTTTTCCTGCTATTTGTCTCCTTTTCAAAACTGTGCAATTTTTGTGCTCGAAATTTTATTTGATATGAGAATTTATCACTCACTTTGTGAGTTATTCCAAATTCACTTTAAAATGTGAAAATCCGCCTCAGGAAGCAAGACACTCTTATCATAACATTCTTGAACTGCAAAATGCTTGTGCAGCTCGGTAAACCTTCTTTCTACTGCGACTGGCGGTCAGCAAATAATTGCCGAGTCAAACAAAGGTGATGATCAGAATATGCAAGAGGCTGGCTGCGCAATTGGAAAATATGAAACTGTTTCTTCTGTTGCATCAAATGGATCACTTGTTTCCATCTCTCCTGCCTTTTCATTTACCCCTTCTACCAGCATTGCAAACTTCATGCCCAGTTTCACTGCTGCCTCCAGTAGCTGTCATTTTGGGTCTAATGTGGAGCCTTCACCCGTTAATAAGTTTGGTATTTCTGCTGATCCATCGACTGCTGTTTCGGCATCATCAACTTCCAATATATCAGAACCAGCAATTTTCCAATATAAAACAGAGGACAATAATATTTTTGGCAGCTTAAGTAATACAAGCTCTAGCGTTTCATCATATGCGGTAAGCTCTGGAAGTAACACTTTTGGACTTGGTTCTTCACTTGCATCTTCAACGGCAAATGGTCAGTCTCAGGGTTCTTTTCTTGCTGTTGCCAGTGGATTTTTGACGTCCTCCATTGGAACTGTCTCACAGAGCACACCCATTCAGTTTGGTACATCTGCATCATTATCGTCCGTCAATATCTCTAGCAGTACTTTATTTGGTTCATCCACTGTGAGTTCCCAAGCATTAAGTCAAAATAGTAGTTTCGGTTTTAGTTCAAGTTTGGCTTCTGCATCAACTGCCAATGGAATTGGCTCTGGAAATGAGCCAACATCTAGTCTGTTTAAATTTGTAGGAAGTTCTTCAGGCGTCAATGCAGTTAGCTCCAGCAGTGGTGCAACTGGCTTATCTAGCGTTGGCGCCAGTTCCTTCTCTTCTGGGGCTGACGCCGATGGTTTTAGCAGTGGTGCCTCTTTTGGTGTATTCAGTTTTAGTGCCAGTTCTTCAGCTTCTACTCGTGGGATCAATGCTGCTTCCAACAGCACCGGTACTTTTGGCATTAAATTTGGCGGAAATTCTTCGGCTTCCCCCATGTTTACTACAAACACTGCTTCAATAGTATTGAATTCGTCCTCTGGTGCCGCCTCTTCAAGCCCTGCTTTCTCATTTTCTGCAGCCCCTGCTGCGGCTTCCTCACCTGTATCTGGTAATCCCACTTCTCCTTTTGCAATCTCGTCTGGGGACAATAATCAAATAAATACTGAAGACAGCATGGCCAGTGATCCAGCGAAATCGTCTGTACCTTCTCTTCCTGTATTTGGTCAACCTTCCATCTTGCCTTCAAATCCATCACAAGCCAATCCCTTTCAATTTGGTGGCCAACCAAACCAACTTGCTCAGGAAAACCAATCTACGTTCCAGGCATCAACTAGTCTAGGATTTAGTTCCAGTGGAAGCTTCTCATTGGGCAGTAGTGACGGTGGCGGTGACAAGTCGGGTTGTAAGATTGTTAAATTTAATCCCAATCAGCACAGGAAGAAGTGAAGAAAATGAATGGTGAAGCTTTGGTATGCTTCATGGACGCCGTTCATCACTGAGAAGACGAGTTGTTCAGGAAGCCCCCTCCTAGCATTGAAAAAGGTGTATTCTTGTAACAATTTTTCCTTTCATTTAGTAGATTTTTGAAAGGCTTAAAAAGTCTCACAATTTTGTACACTTGTTTGTGTTGAACTCGGAAAATGATTGCAATGTACCAGTATAGCAATACTTGTAGATATTGGGTCACGGAATTGTGCAAAAGATACCATGTTACAGTGTACTTGTTTGTTTAAACATCGAGGGATTGCGTATAGAGAAAATATCCATTTTCAACTTCAGATTTATGGATTGTCAAACATGTTTTGCAAATTTAATTTTTTTTACTAATAAAATTGAGCTTTTTGAAATTTGACTTTTAAGCAGTGTCTTTATAGAAATTTTAATAGGGTTATGAATTGTCTTCAATGAGAGAAAAAAAAATTTAATATTATGGAAAAGTAACTTTACAAAAAGGTTGTCTTTATTTCCAAAAAAATTATTGTCTTTCATAGTTTATAGAATATAAAGTATTCTTACACGGGTATAAATTTATTTTTTTGGAGGAGTTATTACCCTCGGTTCCATTTTCTCCTGTAAATATGTGACTAGCTCAGCCTCTAGGTCAACCTGGACAAGTGGAATCGAGGAAAAATAGAAGTAATGAAGGCTATTTTTAGTTAAACTAATCAGTAAATGAAATAATTTTAATAGGGTTTTAAGCTTCCGTTTGGCTCCCATTATTTGAATATAATGAGGGGAATAGTATTTTTTTTTTAAAATTGTGTGGTTGAAAAGTTTTTGATTTTAGTGTAATATTATTTTATTGAAAATTGTGCGATTAAGAGTAGGAGATAAAAATTTAAATTAAATTGAAGAATTTAAAAAAAGGAGGGGGGGGGAGAGGGGGGCGTGGTTTAAACGGCCTAAAAGTGGCCATTAAAATAGAATTTTTTCTTAACGTACGCCGGCGTTCGAAATAAACACGAATTTAAACGGCGGAAGAAACTATTATGAGCAATTGGTGAACCGAGAAAATAACACACCAGAAAACAATGTGGAGAAGGGCTCTGGTATGCGCTGGTGGTGAACTGCACCAGCTTTTACGACCCTGGCGCACTTTCGCATCTCGCTCGTCATCCAGCGCCTCCTCCGTCGCCGCCGTCAACTCCATACTATTACGTTCCCTCAAAGACCACTATGTAGAAGTGTCCAAAATGACCCCTCCTCCAGTATATTCTTCTCTCTCCACATACGCATTTTAGTTTAGTTCTTAAGGCATATAATTGGATTAGGGTTTTCGTGTTTATTTTTTTCTTGAAGTTTCTGAATATTAATCTTTGAACGCTCTTGTAATGCTGTTATGTACTCACCTGCATATGTGTAGTACTGTGATTATGTAGAAATGAGCATATAAATTATTATTACGCTGTAAATGGAACTGATTTTTTGAGTGCTGTTAGGATGCTTCTGCAAGGGTTTTAGTGGGCTAATTGGACTTATTTTATCTGGCACTGTTATGGAATTTTAGATAAATTTTAACCATCTCTTTATGTGAATGTCTGCGTGTGTGATGGGTGGTCCCTAATTTGCACAAACTCAGGGCTGTGGTAGAGTTCTTGAGAAACTTAAAACGGGAGTTTATCCAATTTTGTATTAGGTGATGGCTAAAGGTGAGATAAGGATTTTCCCCCCATTTTTTTACTGTAATTACTAATGCAAGGACTAAATAAGACAACTAAAACGACCTCAACATTAGAGTTCACAAGGGAAGATGTGATAACAAAGCATTTTGTTTTGTACAAATGTAACTGTCGGTTACCTTGAAAAATTACGCACTATATTCGTGTAGCAAGGAGGTTTTAGTGCTGGGAATGTGGGAGGGAATGTTAAAATTGAATATTTTCTTCTTTATACAATCAAGTAAGAATCTGAATATTTTCCTCTTAGTACCATCATCAACCCACTGTAACAGCTTGCCATAATTCATACCTAGTATAACTTTTTCAATTGCTAGTATCCACCTTCCTCTGTGCTGAACATTAGAAATGCTTTTGGCCATAACACTCTCAATGAACATTTCTGCATGTGCACTCCATCTTCGCTTCCTGGTCATCCATATTTTTTCATGGAGATTGCTAGATGTTGTCTAAACATATAGTTTTTCTGCATGTGAACTTGGTGTGTGTTTTCATCTTGTGTATTTTCCTGTATACATCAGAGTGTACTATAAGATGTAAATAAACTCCTCTAAGTCAATGTTGGCTACATGATACATGGGTATCGGTATTGGATACGTCCTCATCGTTTTTAAAAAATATGCAGCACCCCAAACTAGTAGGCATATTTATTAAATTAAATTACTCATCTTCATGTGTAAACTTCTAGTAGTTATATTTTTTTATCCTGCACATATTCGAAATTAACAAACTTTCTTTTTTTATGCTTTTTTCAATTGCATTTGTGTCACAGTCATGCCCAAACTTTGTCTTCAGTGTCTGTGGTCTTGTAATTGAAGGACTAGTTGATTTGAATCTGGACTGTGGCCCGACACAATTTTTTTTTGTATTAGGCAATGGAAGCTATTGCGAGATATCTAAATCTATTGTTTGCCTTATGTGCATATCTAACTAGTTGCTTCTAGAAATAGTTATGAATTTTAGCTCCTTGAAATTATTCTTCCTTATTTTCACAATATTTATTCTCTGGAATATACTTGCATATTTCTAATAAGTAAGTTTGCTAGTGAACATGCTCGTGATGATGTTACAGAACCTTTCTAGTGTTTTTTGTGGCTTAATCATCTTATCTAAATTTTATGTTCCACAGAAAGTTAGCCCCCCTTCACCATTCACTGTTGAGAAAGGGGCACTTGATAGTGGTGGTGCTGTATTAAAACGCACATATGGAGACGAGGAGATCAGTATTTCTGTAATGCGATTGGCTAACATAATTCCTGGAGATTCTGGAGATGACATTGATGATGGTATTAATCAGTTGTTTCTTCATGTTGATATCTCTAAGCCAGGGCAGAAGGAGTCTCTGCATTTTCTCTGTGGATTGTATCCTGATGCTTTGGGAATTCACTCTGTTTCGATGAGGCCAAAAGCTGATTCTTCAGGGTTCCTTGTGGTTCCAACGAAATACAACGGCCCTATTTTTGAGTAAGTTACACTTGGATAAAAAAAAAAAATGTTAGAATCATGCATGTTATGAAGCAAAATGTTTCTTGTTCTTGTGTTTAAATCTTTAAATTGCCTTATAATACTATAGTCTACAATTAGAAAACCTTGACTTTTCTCCCCAGTTCTAGGAACAATATCTATCAAAGTTCATTTTAGAGACAGGATTTGAATTTTCTTGTTAAGTGACAAAGGCATTGAGTAGGGTAAAGGCATTGAGTAGGGTAAATGGGGAAGTCCAAGAATAGAGAAAATTGTTTGGAATTTGTTTACTCCCTTCCCTTTTAATGAGGGAGGAGTCAAATTCCACTTCACAAGCCTGATTTAGCCAAACTATCTCTCCTCTTATACTTGTTTACTTTCTGTTGTTTAATTCCAAATTAATTAGAAGTATCTAAAAACTTGCAATAGGTGCAATTATATTATTATTAAACTACGCATACTTAACTTTGGATAGCTAAGATTCTAATTTCAATAAAATCCTTATCCAAAATTCCATAACCAATCAACACAATTAAAATATCGACGTGGCAATAATGTGTACAATGTGGAAGGTAGCTTAGTAGGGACATGTAGAATACCGATCTCTCCTAGGATTCCAATGATACTTGCAATCTATTTAATATGCAAGAAAGTCCGTTAGTTGTATTTCAATGCACTTGTATTGCAATTGCAGTCTTAGAGTATCTCCAATGGCACTGTAAAATTGGGTATAAATTGGTATCTCCAAAATCACTTTTGCATCCTCATTTACATGCTAGTGGCTCTAAATCCAAATTCCGCTCCAATGGGAAGATCTCCTGTGGATGTTAAAAAAAAATGTAAATTTTCATTTGCATTTGCATTTTTATTTTTATTTTTTTACATTTTCCATCAGAAAATTCAATTTACATCTCCTTTGTATCTCTCCATTGGAGACGTTTCCGGCCACTTTGGAGATCTAAATATCTATTTTATACCACGTTTGGAGATGCTCTTTGATTTTATAGTTACACTCTTAGGATTTTGTGTAAATTATAGGATTAAATAGTAGTAGCAAGCCTATGTTTTAAAAATTTAAGTAATGGAAAAATATGAAATATAATTATTCTTGAAAATTCAGCCCTTTCGTTTCCTGTAAAATGCTGAATTAATGCTCAAAGGACTTTTTTCTGGAAATACTGAAACAACACTTGCAGTGCACGAGAAGAGACTAGAGAGTCCTTTGTGAAGCCATTCCTTTATGCACTAAAATCTGCTGCCTCTGGTGCCTTCACCTAACTAACACACGTTTCATGGTAATTACAATTCATTCCTTGACCAAGAACAAATTACCGTAATTAGCATTTAAATACCTCCAAATAATAAGTTGAACGTTTCTTTGGTGTTAGCAAAATATGTTTTACAATATGCCGTTCTAGAATTTCCATTCTTCATCGTTGCATATAGTTGATACATGTTGAATAGTTAATGGTGATTCAATTGTGAAGACTTGGATTCTGCGGGAATAAATTATATAGAAATTTAATGATTTGATGTAACACATTTCCTTGCAAAGTTCATTCTATCAATTAAATAAATTTTGATTGCCATTTAAAGTCATATATTTATCGTTTCACTTAAAATTGACAGAGATCTTGATGAAAAAGTAAGAGATGCTCTTCATGGTTACATAGAAGAAAGAGGGGTTAATGAGAGCCTCTTTCCATTTTTACAAGCTTGGCTTTATGTAAAAGATCACAGGAATCTCTTACGTTGGTTTAAGACAGTTGGAACATTTGTTAACGAGAGCCAGTCGGGAGCTTCACATGCTTAGTTGATTTCAAGGTAATTCTGAAGTTAATTGTACACAAAACTGGATGAAGACCCCTCTATGTGCTAGAAAATAGAATGAAAATCTTCTTCAGTGTACACTATTCGATCTCTGTGATAGGATATTAGGTGTTGGTATAACTAATATATCTTGTGTGACAGCTCTTCAAGCCATTTAGTTTGATCTAATACACTCATGCGGTTCTTCTATTTAAGGCATTTCATAGTTGAATAATTTGCAGTTCCTGGCTTGCATGGTGTTGGGTGCATGATTGTCTTAGAACAGTTTCTTAACCTTTCATATGCTTGGATTGTTACTACTTCATAGTTTGTGGTGAGATATTGAACAATTTTTTATATTCTTCTATTTATTTAGTTGTGATGTGTTCTTCTCCCCGTTACATATTTGTTTGAGGGCATTGCTGTCCCTACTTTGCTTCCACTATGCTAAATTTACTTATGATTCTTCACTGTTTATTGCCATAGTTCTTCTCTTGTTGTTTGGGCCATTAAATACTTTCTCTGTGCTCAAACAGCTAGTGTGGAAGCTTGAATCCTTCGTTTAATTGTTTTACTGAAGTTTGACAAAGCATTCAGTCTTCATCACAGGGTTCCACAGTTTAGTCATCGAGCCATATATGAGGTGTTTAGACCTATCATTTTCTACAAACCTGGGTTGTTGCATTTGGTCACTTTCGACATTGATTTATGTCTTCCTTTTTCATTTTCCAATTATAGGCATGGGGGGAAAAAAGAGTTGGGTTGAATGGTGCCCTATTTATATGTCGATTTCTCTTGAAAATTGCACGCAAATCAAGCATACAAGGACTTTGAGTGCATGGATCATGACCCAAGACTTCTCGCTTGTTTGTATATTTATTGATTTTGTTGTAGCTTAGATGTGTCAAATTTGTTGAGTGGCACCATGCCGGGCCAAGACTATTCCACCTGAAAACTGGCTGTCGGTTTCTAATCATGCTGCTTGCTAGTTTTTATATTTATCAAACTTCTTGTAGCTTAGATTTGTCAAAAATGTGTTGAGCAGCAACATGCCGGACCAAGACTGGTACACCTGAATTGGTTTTGAACTGTTCTTGTTGAGATGTCTTTTTCGATTGTTTCCAGATGTTATGCCTGACATTTCTATTTTCTGAAAAGAGCTAATGAGAAAATTTTGTTTTTCTTTTTGTTCTTTTGAGAAACTTGCACTCTGTTTGGTAACCTAAAGCTAGTCCCTCACAGTTGGAATGGAGATGATTTAATTTAAAATTGCACGTCTTTTATTCGAATCTCAATACCAAAAATTCATTCCATGCCGTCGTAGATTATTTATGTGGAATGCAATATTATCCGATTGACTTGAATAAGACTGATTAGAAATGTGTCAAGTGAGTGTATCATACATGCTAACAGGGATCGAAATGTCTAAAGAATCTGACCAAACTATGTTCCCCAAATTCACCTTCTGACAGAAAATGCACTTTACAAAACTATAAAACGCATAATTCAAGAAATAAATTTGAAGCAAATTATCAATTTATTAATTAGTACACCAAAGATTCCAATAATACACTACATGCTAAGCTTAAACAAGCGACTATTAACTTTGCATATTATTTCTGAATATAAGATTGACTTAAACTAAGTTCTGCTTCTCATTCCACATGTAATGACCATGAAATTAACTTCACTTTGCAAGCAAATATACAAGTCTTTGAAAACAAATATACAAGCCACACAATCTTGATCAGCTTTCAGAACGAAGGAATACTCGTGCCTCGACCTGTATCGCTCAGGTATGTCGTCCAAAGTAATCCCCGCGTCTCTCCAATCGAATCCGATATGGGGAGAGGCGGGAAATTCATAATCAACAACAAAACGGACATATGATCAATCCATTCTCGTTGCATTCTGAGCATTTCATTACCTGACCATCACCTTCAGGAACGATTTTTCGACTTCCATTGCAGTTAAAACACACAATAAAACTTATTCCGGCACAACCTTCACATGGTCCTTCAGATTTATCAATAGGAATTCCTTCAAGAAGTGGCTTTAACTTTCCTTGTTCATGCAACACCAAAACCTCTGCAGCTCCTCCAATGTACCTTCCCTTTATGAACAGCCTTGGAGGCAGTAATTTTTCACCCAAAATCTTCCACAACTCGTCCCTATACTCCGAATGCATCGATATATCCCTCTCGTAGAACAAAACCCTCGAGTTCTCCAATACAGACCGGATTCTATGACAGTCGTTGAATGTCTTTCGTATCCCTCTAAGGCCTGTGGCGTAGAGAATAACCGCGTCTGTACCCCCTGGTGGACACTTGATTTCAAATTCTAGTAGGGGATCTGCAATTTCCTCGATTTTTCTTGACTTGTAAAGGGGGCCTTCATCGATTTCTTGCCTATTTATTTCCTCGATTCGAACCCTTTTCTCTGTGTCGTCTTGGACTTTGACTTCCATAACTGCCTGCTCAAAGGCTGCAAGAAGATTCCGGTCGAAAAGGGATCCTGAGTCCAAATTTGGCTGCCTGGACGAAGACACATCAATCTCTTGTAAAGGGACATGCTTTTCATCATCTTTACGAAATTTTTCTGTAGATTCCATAACCTTGTTCTTTGATTTTTCTTCAAAATTATCTGGGATTTTCGACTTCTTTTCGGGTTTGACATTCTCCTTATCATTGATATTAACATCGAACTCAAAGTCTTGATCTTCAAGATCCTTCATAAGCTCTGTAACATCAATGATCTCTGGTTCTTGCATCATCAATCCATCATTCTCCACAACATTCTTGGGATTTTCTTGAATGGAAACCAGGGGTTTGCGGGGCAAGGAATTGGATTTGGGCGGTGAAGTATATACATAGCCTTCAAATGCATTTACCTGAAGAATTCTTTCTGGTTTCAAATACCCATTTGTTTTGATTGTCTTCAATTTCTTCAGTAGCCTTCCTTTCACTCTCTTCATCTTCAAAATCCCGTTCAGGAATTCAAGATTTTACAGCTATATTAAAGAGGATATGAAAGAGAGTGAAGTAGGTTTTTTAATTGTCAGAAGAAATTAGGAAAGACAGAAACATTTTCTTCTCCAATCCGACAGCCGTTGCAGAGGAGAGATAGAGAGAGTGATGTGTCAAGAGGTAACGGCTAGAATATTTTGAAAATTGAAATGATATTGTGGGAGGAGGTGCATTGCAGCTGGAGAGGACCACAGAAAATGAGTAATTTTAATTATCATCACTAGCGTTAAACATCATTCTAAGTGATAACCGCATGATATTAAGGCTCCGTTTGGTATTCATTTTTGTAAGAATGAGAATGAAAAATATAGTCGTGAGATCCGCATAAGAAATAGAAAATTAGATATGATAGTTTAATGTGATGGATAACGGTCATATTTTTTATTTTTGTAGCCAAAGAATGTAAATCAAACGGGGGTTAAATAATATATTCAATTAAATGAAAAATCATATGATTCATTTAATTGAACTTATAAAATGTAGTAATTTAAATCGATGCTTTGGCACTATTGAAATTAGATATCATTATTCTAGAAGATTTGAAACTCGGATTGGAAGAGCATGCTTTGGGTTGGGTTGTATAATATTGATTCAATCCATTGGATGGGACATAAAGATAATTTTTCGAGTTAAAAATAACATTTTTAACGAGGTGACCACTTTTTCGTCCACTTTCATGGGTATCTTTTTTGGCACTTTCTCCATGCTTTCGAAAAAATAAAGTGCATACTGCATATGAATGCTTTAGGAGTTTCTTCATCAACCCGCATTTAATAACCAAAGGAAAAACTTTCTTTGTGCAAGCAAATCTTTAATAGGGAAGTATTATATGTACATAATTATCTACATAATAGTGTCCATAATTACACGTGGTACTGGATCCAATTTTTAATTCAAATCTCACACTTGCACATTAACAATCGGATAATTGCACATCACATTATGAACACCATTATGTACAATAATTATATATAAGAAGAATTTTCCTCTTTAATTATCTCATAAATATGCGTGCAAATATTATATGCGCTACACAGTACACAATCCACCAGATTGTCTACACGGTTTATGCTTTTATGTAAACTTATAATCATTAGAAATTAAAAAGGTCCCTTTTTTGTTTTTTTTTTTGTTTGATATATTGATGGGTAGACAAATTACATTAACTTTACACTATTGTGACATTTAACGGGCACATGGAATCATGTAGCAACACAGAAGGGTAATTAGCACAAAATATATTTACATTTCAATGTTATTGTGTAAAATGTCAATACATTTCATTTTTTGACACTTTCATCTCTATTTTCACCTTTCATTGTGAAATGTTATTTTCATTCAATTTCTCAATAGAAAAATATAAAACGACAAATATACCCATTTATTTAAATTTTAAAAAAAAAAAAGAAAAGAAAAATTAAATAACAAATTTTAATTATATTCCCAAACTTTTTTTAAAAATTGCAAATGAGTCCAAATAAACTATTAAAAGCTTAATTAGTACAAAACGTCTCTATCTTTCAATATTATTATACAAAATGTATTTATCTTTCATTTTTTGGTATTTTCGCCATTATTATCACAATTCATTGCTGAAATCATAATTTTCATCCTTTTTAAATTAAAAGCTGTAAAATAACAAATAAAATCCTCTTATTTATACAAAAAAATAAAATAAAGAGCAAAATACAACTTTACTACTATTTTTTTTAAAGTTCAAATAAATTTCAAATAAAAAAATAAAAAATAACATTTTTAATTATATATTTTGAATTTATTATTATTATTATTTTTTGAAAAATTGGGAGTATAATTTCAATTTGTTCTTTATTTTTCTTCTCTTTATTTTTGTTTTATTTAAATGTAAGGGTATATTTGTCATTTTAAAGCTTTTAATTTAAAAAATAGATGAAAATAATGACTTTCACAATGTAATATAAAAATAAGGGTAAAAATACAAAAAATAAAAAATAAAAAAAATTGAAAGGTAGGAACAATTTGTGCTAATTACTCTTTCAAATAATTTATTTACTCATTTACAGTTTTTCAAAAAGTTTAGAAATATAATTACAATTTGTTCTTTAATTTTTTTTTTTTCAATTTTATTTTATTTAAATACGATGGTATATTTATCATTTTACATTTTCTTGTTGAGAAATTGAATGAAACAACCTTTCTTACAATGAAATGTGAAAATAAGGATGAAAATGTCAAAAAGTGGAAGGCAATAACATTTTACACAATAACATTGATAGGAAAGGACATTTTGTGCTAATTACCTCACCACTGAATATTAAAAACTAGCTTGAGTAAATCAGTCTCGTCTTATCGAAGTGAACTCGAATTCCAAACTGCATAATGATAAGCATCTAAATCTCATGCACCAGAGCTATATATAACAAACTATATTGCAAGTAGTAACTCGTATTACAATACCAAGGCATGTCAAATGAAATTCTCAAAACATTAAACAATAAATCTTAATACTATAATAGAAAACTAAGACTGCAGAAAATACTGTCGTCACACGTAACTTGGAAAACTCATAAACCAAACCCACCCCACCCCACGCCACCCCAGCGCACACTCCTTTCTTCTGTTGCTGCTGTAACATTTGCGATGCTGCACTGAAACATCAATATTAGATCACTGCTGGGCGCACTGCACCCTCTGAGCCCCGCCATGCATATCATCATCATCTTCCTCATATGCCTCTTGGGCAGCTTGCTGCTTCCTACGCATCTCTTCTTCAATGTTAACGTCGTGCAAAGTAGTCTCCTCACATTCATCCAATTCCATGTCAGTAATTTGGGTTGTTGCCCTTGCAGGGAGCACTGTCTCAATAGCTTTGCATTGCTCTGCATGCAGGGATTCAGGGAAATCCACAGTGAAATGGATGTACAATTTCCCTCTCATGAATGGCCTCTGGTACAAGGGCATTCCTTCATCATTAATGGCCTTGAATTGATCTGTGGCCCCATTAACAAATATTAGCGTTTGAACGTTTTTAAAAAAAGTACAAACTTTTATCTTTGGCAGAAAATCGAGATTCAAAAATCAATGAACCTTGATAAAGTTGTATAGGAAGCTGTTATTTGTAAAAAACAAGAAAAAGCAGAAACAGTAAGCAAAACAAGTCACAGTTAAGCAAGCGAAACAAGCTACAGGTACAGCAGAATACATCACAGATCTTTTACAGATAAGACCATAGGTGGG